GGACAGAAGGGAGCCTGGAAGCCAGCGCTGGCGGTCAGGTTCTGGCCCTCCCAGCACGCCCGCTCCAGGCCCCAGGCACCTTGCTGTCATACTGCTTCCCATAGCTCTTCTTCCACAGCTCCCAGTGGGTGTCCAGGATCTCCTCAGGGTAAAGAGCAAAGCTCACCGCGGGCAGCAACAGTAGAACCTTGAGCCCCCACATCCTGGGGAAGGGGATAATTAGGGGACACTCTTCTATTTGCCAGGAAGTCCCTAGCCCGGCTTGGGAGAGGAAATACCTGGAGCCATATTTCCAGACAGGTGGTGCTTAACCCCTGGCAGCCAGACTCCTTTGAGAAGCTAATACAATTTTGCAACCCACCACAACTCCTCTCGCCAGAAACATGCAGGCACGAGCAACAGTTCTGGGGAGTTCGTGAACCTGAAGCACCCCTTCCTCTGGCCTGTGAGGTAGAGGAAAACTAGGCTTCATTAGGAAGGTAGAGCTGAGGGTGATTCACATACGATGAAATAGTGGGGGTTTGGAGGGGTTTGAGAGGGGTTCAGGTGGAGCACTGGTACATCTGGTTCTAAGTATTTTGACTTGGAGAGATTACACACACACACACACACGCACACACTTGCACGGACAGCTGGAGACAGTCAGCATGGGCTCAGCACCTTTCTTCCCAAGGCCCCTAGCTGACTTGGAGATGGACAAGGCAGGGTGGGCTGAGGGCGGTTGGAGAACACACGAAGGAGAGATCTCCAGCTAGGTTTTGCTTCTGGATCCTTCCTTCGAGGCACTCTTCTCTTCCATGCCTAGATTCTTAGCTTTCCAGATCTTGCCAAGAGGGTGACACAAAGGGCAAAGTTGGCAGTATTTCCTATTCTCTGACTGTGCAAGAACAGACTTAAGGTCTCCTCGGGCTTCTTAGCGCGGCCTCCTTTCTCTTCCAGCTCCCTCCTGGGGCAGGAAGCTGTCCTAATCTCAACCAGCTGCTGTGGGCAGGAAGGTTTTATTTTTCTGACATCAAAAACCACTGTGACTGCCTCACAGGACAAAAAGCCTCAGATCCAGTTTGTTAACAGACTATAAGACAGAAAAGCAAAGTCTTGTGATCATTAAATACACTGCTTCTTAGAAGTCCAGGCTAGCCTCACTCACTTCTTGCAGTGGCTTAATTGTGTGTCCTCCATTTTAAGAACAATTTATAGTCTGCAGCAAGTCACACAACTTGTGTAATTTTTGTACAGTCCATTTTTGTGTACTCTGCAAAATATCCAGCAGGAAGGATAATACATGAGAGCGAAAGTCAGTTTCTAGCTGGATCACATACAGTAAATCTATTATCTGTAGTGTTAAGGGCTTGGAGCTGTCTCAAAGACCAAGAGCACTGAGCCACCACCTCCCTGCACCACTCCCCCTGCCAGCTATACATTAACCCTTTTGGTACCTTTGGCCAAATCAGAACTCCCCCGCAGGCCACTCGCTGAGGGATGGGTAAAGGATTCCCTATACCCTTTGCCTTCACTAATACCAACTACGCTAGGCGAACATGCAAATCATGACGGCATACTACAGATTTCCAGGCAGATTTTATTTGGCCAGGAAATGACCTCAGAAGGGCATCTTTTCCACCCACACAGCCTGCAAAGTCACTGCATCTTTAACACTTCGAAAATGTGGAACTGGCAGGAATGAGAAGCTAAGGATCTATGAAGCTGAAAATGTTACCTGCTGATGGAGATCTGTTCTCTGGGCCGGGTTCCGCAGGGATGTGTGGATAATGTGGGCAGATGACTAGGAAGGCTGGATTTATCCCATCAGAATTGCGGAAGTCAGCTCCAGCTGTCGGCTGGAAAATTTGAATAGAGGAAGGAGGCGGGGATAGAAATGCAAAGAAGGGCACTGGGGAGGAGGGGAGGCAGCAGAGCTGACTGCTTCTGCAGGCCTGTGGAGCGTGCACGCCAGGGTGAACTGCTGGGTATTTGGTTTCCACTCTCTGAAGGGCAGACAGAAAAATGAGGCCTCAAGACATATTGCTTAAGTCGGGGCCTACCTTCTCTTTGGTAAATAGAGGGACACAGCCCTGGTCTCCCCCATCCTTCCTTAGCATTAACTATTTTGGGGGATTACATCTTTTCTGACTTTTTCCCATTACCCGTCTCCTCTCCAACTCTGAAACTTGTTTTCACATTTCTGTCAGATGATGGCATCAAAGATGACGGAACAAACAGAAAAGGCTAGAAAATGGGTATGTTGGGGAAATCATAGGTTCCAAAATCATTTGCATTTTATAAGCTTGTTGGCTAAAAGTTGTCACAGGTTCTACGCAGAGGAAAAGCTCTCCCAGCCTGACAGGATTTTGCTGAGGAAGGAGAGCCCAGAAAGTCAGATGAAATCAGTTCTAAAAGTAACGAGAAACAGCATTCAGTAATTTATGACAGCACATGAATCAAGGCCATAAGCACTGACAAACTCACATGTGACTCGTCATTAAAACTCTTAGATGTTGGGATGCCTGATGAACATTATCTGTCTCAATTACTAAAGTCCCCAATTCAGGTCGTCACATGAGCTCCTCCACGTGGTTCCGCCAACATCTAGGCATGTGACAGATCATGAGAGTCTAGTTCAGTCCCTAAACCACATTCCCAAACTCCGTTTTCTTCATAAACGGATGTGGGGGAAGAGGAAAAGAGGGTCCTTGGAACAGGAAGGATAACACATGAGATCGAGACTCGGTTTCTAGCTGGATCACAGACACAGACCCTCAAGATCACAGGTTTATGCCTGTGGGTTTTAAGATTTGCTAATGAACTACATGCTCCTACAGGGTAACCAGGTCCAGACCTGGAGAGTTTAAACGTCGCCATTCCTCACTGCTGTTCATCGAGGAGGACATCCTGGAGGAAGGAATCCAGATGTGCCCTCCTGGTCTCAAGTCCCAATTCTTCCCCTCTCCTGAGGACTTGAGCCATACCCCTCCCCCCATGCCATGGTCAGATGTCCCTGCTGATTTTACTCAGAATGAGTCAGGATCAAGAGGACAACCAAGGAATGCTGAGTGATCAGAGCCCTATGATTTCTGATTCTTGACATTACAGACACGCTGTGCTTTATGTTTGTATATTTGGAGCTCAAGCTATGGATTCAACCAGTTGTGGGTGTTTGTTGTTTATGAGGGGAAAGGAATAATTAAGCCGCAATCAAGATGACACAACACAAAGCGTACAAAAGGAAAAAATATTTTGTTTTAAAATACTTGCTACATGTCATTATTTTTGCCAGTGTAAGGCTCAGCACAGATGCCAGCAGTACAATGGCCAACAAGAAAAAAACAAAACAGTCAAAATAAAACCCTGAAGGAAAAGCAGAAACGAAATCCCCAGAGCAACTTCTCCCTCCCTCTCCCTCCCCAAAAGCCATATAATAACTGTACAATATTATAGTCCTGATCACATTTAAAAACAGGCAATTATTAAAAAACAAGGATTTCATTGGAAACTCAACTTTTTGGTTTCTTAAACTGTGATATAAATATATACGTATACTGCATGTGTGCACATAGAATAAAAAAATACACTGTCTCCTTTTCCACTCCATCACCTGGCACCAGACTGGAGACGAGAGGGAGGGAAGCCTCGTAATGACATTCTCTCAGCCTCTCCAAGGCCATCTGTGCCCCTCATCCCCTATGGCTACGTTTAGTATGTCTCCTCCTTATTCAGTCTTGCACTTCCGATACTGGCCTGCACCAATTAATAGAGCACTGCACACGGCTGTTACCTGAGGAAGGTGAAGAGCGACATCAGTGACCTGTGCTCACACTCATATGGCTGCAGTTAATGACTGAGCAGCCCTGTTGGGGTGAGTCCAGGCCCCCTCTGTCACGTGGGTTTCTTACACTTGCACTATAAAGCAAAATGCAATCCCAAGACTGGAGAGGGAACGAAGAGGAAAGAACTCCAGGCCCAGAAGAGACCTACAGCTCAATTTCTTGCCAGACTGGACACTGAGAGAATGGGATGGAAGAGGTTACTCTGCACGAAGGCTTGGTATTTGGTTTAAACTCCAGCAGTAAGGGTTCGCGCTGGGACTGCTAATCCAAGAAGTTGAGTTTCCACGCAGAAATAACCTCCAGAGCACACACACGTGTGATTCTGACAGAAAAATGCAGCATTATCCTTATGGCCAAGTCGGGGGTTTCTGAAAGTGTTTATCTTGCCAGCCTGTTTCTGTAATGTCTTCCATGTAAGGTGAGAGCACCAAAAGC